TACAAGCCCCAGACCAGAAAGTCCCCAGCGCAAAGTGGCCAGCCCTGAAACTACATCTATATACATAAAAGCACACATACACACACACACACACACACACACACACACACACACACACACACTGGAGGGAGGAAAGGGAAAGGAGAAGCTGATGCAATTATAGTTTAATTAAAATGCCTAAAAAATAAAAGACACACAAAAATACTAAAATAAAAGTGTACAAAAAATCAAGAATAACCCCCTAAAAAGGGAAATTTAGAGGTTTATGAATAGTCATTTCAACATAATTGATACAAACCAATACAGATGCACCTAGAAAATGGCATGAAGTTAAACCTGGAATCCAGATGTTTAGAATTCTGTGTTCTAACCTGAGTTCCTGAATCAGAGATGTCAAGCAGGAGTAGCTGTTCGTTTTCTGGGGACTGCTGCACTGGGCCCTGTAAGCTAGGGTGACATTACCACAGCCATTCCAGCCTCAAGAAGGTTGCTGGCCTTCCAAGTAATTCAAGATTCCAAACTGCCCTGACTTCCCATATGGGCCTGGCTACTGGCTCCTCTTTACCTCCTTACATGAGGCCATTTGTGCTATCTGTACCCTTTCCTTTAATGCCAGCTGTTGACACCCTCTTGCAGCTCCCCTTCTTCTATGCCTGGCTATTCTATAGACACAAGAGAGCCCTGTCCCTCTTCCCCTGGTCCTCCACTCCCCATCCCAAGCTTCCTCCAGCTTTTGACAGGATCCCAGCTGGCTCCTCAGAAAATCTCTAAGTCAGCCTCATCGTCCTGCTCTAAGTAAGATTATGAAGACTCCACTATGTCTTCTGTGAGATAAGTGAAATGATGGCATTGAACTCAGTTTTTGTAAGTCTAAGTACTATACTTCACAGTATATGGGATACCTTCGAGTCACTGCGGAGACTATCCATGTTTTTCGTTTTCTTCTGAAAGCATCAGCATACTTCAGAGTAACAAATAACTTCAACATTTTTGAATGGTCACTATTAGTACTGCACTTTGGCTATTTTTGTTTCCTGGATACACAGTCAAGCTACCTTTTTTATGTCTCTCCCACAAGTCATACAGCCATAAAACAACATCAGCAACAAAACTGTGAGAAGAGAGCATATGTGTCCCATCCTAGCCAGAATAGTTAGGTGTGTCCATTCCTCACCCTCTCTTTATGTCTGTGGGGAGTTAGTGGTAGAGAGGACCAGCCAGCACCAATGGGGAAGCCAGAAGGAAAGACATCCTTCTCGGAGGAAGATTCCCCACTAACCGTGAACCCACACTGGACTGAGCTATTACACACTTTGGGGTCAACAACACACTGCAGCCTGGTGTAAACTAGTACAACCAATATTAGCATCCGCATTATTCAGAGAAAGAAGCTAAAGTGGATAAGAAATATTCAGGAAGTAGAGAAGCCCAATTCAGAGTTCTCAAGCTGGTTGAGTACCCACCACTATTGACTGAGTCCCTTCATCTACAGCCCTGAAATGTCCTGGGCGATGTCTGTTAGCCTGGTGACAGTGTGAGCAGTGCAAGAATCACTGTTTGTCATCTCTGCAGACACTAAGGCCTCTGTCAGACAGCATTCACCAAATTCCCAGCAAGTCATTATGGGAATGTTTCAACGCTGTTAGCAAACTTTCCAGGCCTGAAACCCTGCCCAGACATAGTGTACAGGAAGTCCACCAGCCGGGCTGGATCAGTTCTGTCCAAGTCTAAGTGAGGAGCTGAAACCAGCAGCAGAGAAGTGCATTGTCTCCATGAAAAAATGATATGTTTATAGGAAAAGTCACAGCAGAACTCAGAGCACAAGCTGAGGTCAGGAAGGACTTTAAACACCTCATGATCCTGTGAGAAACAGAGTGTCTGGCTGATCAGGACCCTGAGACAGATTCAACAAGGAAGGCTAACTCCTGAGCAGACTGAAGAGCTTGGGAGAGCTGCCTCTCTGCCCCTTGCTTGCTTTCTCTATTGGAATGTCCTACCGCCTCATGACTAAGGATCCAACATTCCTGCGCCACAACGAGGCTGCAGCTGCCTCTTATGTGGTTGGAGCTTTGGTCCTATCTTCCCTATGGATGAGAAGTTACAGGAAAGCAGGACGTAGTTCAAGCCCCAGTGTCGACCAAGCTCTTATCAAGACTTTTGGGCAGGAGAAACCACAGGTGTAAGCTTCATTGACCCAAAGTTCTTAGAAAAGTAAGGGAACCATGTCAAGAAATGGTCATAATAAATGAAGAAAATTTTCACTTATTATGTTGTCTTCAAAGGCCAACTCCATCTTTGAGTTCTCTCTCTGTGGAGATGCTCTAACTGCAGGTCAGAAAAATGCTGAGGCATGCTGAGGGAAGGCTTCATGCACTGCTGCTAGCTGGAAACCAGCAAACCAACATGTCTAAGGAAGCTCTGGGGCTCAGCCTGGCAAGCAGCAAGGTCACAGCCCTAAGTGGAGGAAGAACACAGTCTTGTTGCTGATAGGATTTTTATATGGGGTGTGGCGGATTGGGTTTAGAGTTACATCCATGCCAGGCCAGGCACTGTGACCTAGTTTTGCTCAGGGTAGACGTGAGCATGGACCCGAAGGACAGAAGAAAAGGCGCAAAGACAGATGAGTCGTGCTTGGTCAAGAAGGATTAATTGAATGCAAACTGAGGTGCACCAGTGTAAACACAGGAAATAAACCCAGATAATAGAAAAGAGAAAATGGACACTGAGTTTAGAAGTGAAGGTGATAGATTTGTAGCACCAGAAACTGAGCTCATGTTGGTAACAAGACCAAAGGACTCATATATATTTCTTCCTTTTCTTTTTGCTCATCTTTAAATCACTTTTATTTTGCATATATAGATGTTCTGCCTGCATGTCTGGGCACCAGTTGCATGCAGCCAGTTTCCTTGGAACTGGAGTTACAGACAGTTGCAAGCCACTTTGTGGGTGCTGGGAATCAAGTCCAGGTCCTCCGGAAGAGAAGCCACAGCTCTTAACTGCTGAGCCATCTTTCCAGCCCCACATTTCTTAAGAAAATTCTTGCAAAAATGTCCATAGGACATTACCACCTTCCAACCCTGGAATTTAAGGATGGGCAGCGGAGTGATGTAGTTTGTAAATAAGAGGCGTTCCACTCTGTCTTCCGGTGCCCGATGTTACCAACAGTATGCTGTCCCATGTGTGCTTAGACACTCAGGTTGACAGATGAACAACTGTTACTTAAAAGATCCGTGCTGAAGAATTTAGATATTGTGTTTGGATTGGAAAATTAATACCAATTCAATGATTTTTATTCTTGATTTTCTATGCAGAAATATGTAGCTTAAATCTAACATAGGGTTTCAGATTTGTTTTAGGTGCTTTCAGTCTCCTGCTTACTAAGTTATGCTATTGAAAGTTTGTTTTTAATAACTGATTCTCAACCTGTGGGTAGTGACCCCTTTGTGGGTCAAAAGATCCTTTCTCAGGAATCACCTAAGACCATTGGAAAACACGGATATTTACACTGCGATTCATAATAGTAGTAAAACTGCAGTTATGAAGTAGCAACAAAAATAATTTTATGGTTGGGAGTCACCACCATATGAAGAACTGTATTAAGGGTTATAACATTAGGAAAGCTGAGAACAACTCTTTAACATAGTTCCATATTTAGAATGAAGTTCAATTATCTAGAGTTATAGATTAGCAATTACTCTCTTTCATGGGTTAATAAATAAATACTGATTTGCTGCATGAAGAAGGATAGATAGGAGAGGTGGTACAGTTTATAAAGGAACTCAACATATTAGAAATAGAAAAGAAAACGTCTGAAATTACATCATAATTAGTTTGCAATTGATGAAGCTTTTCTACTTAGATACAAGGAAACCCTGAGAAATCCACCTCATTAGATAAACGTATTTTTCATAAGCAAATACAAAGTACTTGAAAGCAGGGGGCTGTGGATTCCAGCAGCAAAGACCTGGGGCCAAGCGCAGTAATGGCCACTCTGGCTGCTCAGGAGAAGCCTCTGGAGGGTTTGGGAAGTTCTCAACCACTACCACAGAGTTGGAGTTTCAACCCTCCATGCCAGGGTACCAATGTTATCCCAGACGCTCCTTGTACGCCCATATTTCTATGTGTGGCAGCCAGGCACTAAAGCCATAGGCCCCATCTGAGGTGGTCACATAGCCCTGCAGACAAGCTGTCTCTGCCTAACAAAGGTCAGGATGTTGTTGCTCCTTTCTTTGTAATTTGGAGGATGCCTCAGAGAGATGCTGATTCAAGCCTACATGACAGCTAGCATACACAGCAGACAGGTAGATACGGATGTGACAAAAGGCCGTTCACATGGTTACCTAGGAGACAGGTCTGGTGTATTTTCCCATTCAGTTTATGTGTTGGTATAAAAGCTGTTTGGAGAATAAATGCGGAGAGATCTTCAGGAGAAGAGAACCCTGAGATGCCCTTCCATGATGACTGTGTAAGCTGTGTCTAATTATTCCTTGCGCCTCCGTACCAGTCCAGTTAGGGAAAATAGCTATCTATGTTGGGGCCCATGGCTTCTAACAGCTCCTAAGGCTCCCATTGCAAACTACAACTGCAAATTCTGCCAATCCAACCCCCAAGGCCCACTCCCTCTGCCTTCACACCCCACCACTGCCCAAGCCTAATGCCCTACCTCCCCAAGTCCTGTCCCTAAGGCTATAAAGAGTCCTCAGATGAAGCAGGTGAGAGAGCTTCTAGGGAGATGGAGACCATACAGTTAGGCGAGACTCCAAAGATTCTTAAACCACTGAACAGTCCAACGCTTCACCAAGCAATGTGTGTCGTGGTTGGTGTCTACAAAGACTGTACTTGCTCCATTTCTCACTTCTGGAGGCTGTCTCTAAATCCTGGGTGCAATTCTAACTGCGACCCTCTCACTAAATCTGTATTTTGTAACGAAGCCACGTGGTTTTTTTCCTCATTACCTTACTGATTAGAGAGATGATTCCAGAGCAATCAGATTCACTTACTTTAATTCCTTGTGATCCATGACCAGGGGGACCAGGAGGGCCAGGCAGGCCTTTCTGCCCAGTGTCACCCTATGAAAAGAATAATTACAACAAAGTATAGGAAGATTAGGGAGGGAAAATGAACATATCACTGCTCTTGGCTTCATTATTACTTTAGCTGATTAGATCCCCTTGCCATAATATAGCTCCTGTTTCACTTATGGCTATGCTGTTCTAAACATTCTTAGGCCACTTGAATTGCTTATAAACAAACTTTTATGGATAACCCAAGTATAGGAAAAGAAGCAAGGAAGAGCACAAACTTTTATGGATAACCCAAGTATAGGAAAAGAAGCAAGGAAGAGCAGCTTCCTTGAGGCCAGAGACCTCTGCTTGGTAAATCTAGATGTCTCCACCCCAGGCTGCCCACATCAAGTTCTAAAACCACTGAGGCCAGATTCTATGCAGGCTAGAACATGTTCTTTTTTTAATATGGAGTGCCAGCTCACTGGGAACACTAAAGTCAGGGGAAGGGCTTGCAGACGGCTCAGTTCATAAAGTGCCGGTTGTGTAAGCACCCACATGAAAAAGCATGGTATGGTACTTGTATTCTCAAAACTGGGGCTCAACAGCTGGCAAAAATTGGTGAGTTAAGGCCAATGAAATATTCTGTCTCTGAAGCAAAGTAGACAGTTTCTGAGGAATGATATTTAAGGCTGGCCTCTGGCCTCTACATGTACACACACACACACTGGCAGACATGTGTGCTTGTATATACATAAAGATATATATGTGTATACACACATAACAACACAGTGCGATTGCATAAACACAAGCATATATATGCTTATACACACACATAGTGTCAGGGGATATTGATCAAAACTCACACAATAATTTTTCCTATAAGAAAAGTCAGTTTAAAAAGAAAAAAAGAAAAGTCAGTATATTTATGACTTTCTTCATAAAGGTTCCTGTAATATAATGATATACAGTTTTGAATTCACAAAGATATGAACATTTTGATTGCGATAACTCCGTTTGTGGAAGCCATCTTGTTCATTGGGGGCATTCAACAGCACTCCTGAACTCTATCCAGTAGATGTCAGTGTCATCTTGAGTTGAGACATCCCAAAATGTCTTCAGTTGTGATAGTTTAGGTGCCCCACTAGTGGCTCTGAGAGGAGGACAATTCCCCCTCAGTGAGAAACACTGGGTTAGAAGAATTAAAGAATCGATAAGTACCAAGCTAGAAGAGATAAGCAAATGATACACAGAAATAAAGGAAACGGTCATGGAAAGAAGCCGCTCTCAACCTTCTGTGGGAACCATGATGTTTGGTCTTTGCTCCAAGTTCCGACACGGAGGCTGGAGATATACTATATAGCACATACATTAGCCAGTGACCTGCTAAAAGGCCACTCAGGAAGCATCTAGCCAAGCGAAGATGTGATTTTTTTTCTTATCTATATGTAGCTCAGGATGAACTCAAACTTGATATGTAGCACAGGCAGGCCTTGAATTAGCAATCCTCCTGCCTCTGCCTCTCAAGTGCTGGGACTAGCGGTATATACCACATGGCCAGCTAGGATTTGCTTCCTGGTGAGATAGCACAGCCTTGAGAAACCTGGAAATATTTAGAACACCTCACAATTGTACTGAGAGAATTTGACTTTCTGATTCGGTAAGGATTTTGACCGACACTCATTACATCGAGTCAGCTGTTGACTCACTATTTGTGGCCAAGGTGTGCTCACAGTTTCTGAATTGATAGCATTTCTTGTCTAGAGTTTTGCAAGTAGGGATGCCCCAGAAGGCACCTGCTGCTCACTCACATGAGACCTGAAGACTCACCTTCGGCCCTTGGGTTCCAATGCCCCGAGGCCCAGAAGGACCTGGAGGGCCTCTGACCCCTTGTTCTCCCTGAAAAGATATAACGAATAACGAGTTACCAATTAAACACTTATAACACATAACTTTCCATGTTAAATATACGTTTTAGGACCAATTTATAAATTTTGAAGTCCCTTGAATTTTTCTAAGAAATTGTCTGAGCCCACTTCACCTAAATCAGTCGCTGTTTTGACATTGCGTGCGCACTTCTCTTTCTTCTCGTCACGTGTGCACGCTTTCCTGATAAAGGATTAATTTCAGATCAATCAGCTCATTAACTCCTCGGCAGAGTTAATGTGTGCTTCTTTCAGAACTTGCTTCTCTAGAATCTGGAAAAGTAATTACTGATTTTTTGAGCAGCGGAGTAGAGGAAATACGAATAAAATAGGATAAAAAAAAAAGTGGCCACGAAGAGCTATGGCCACATCCTGAAGAGCAGCTCTTGTTATTTCCTCAACTAAAATAAAGCTACTTGACTTGGGGTTGACTCTGTGATGCTTGGGCCACAGGAGTGGTTATGATCACAGGGAAAACTCTGTCAAGATCTTGCTGTTTCCCCAAGGTGTGACGTGGTAAAGCAGGTGTCAGATCTTCCTGGGATGGCATTGTTAAAGGAGACACAAATAAAATCCTCTCCACTCTTCAATTTCTGCATGCCAAGATAATATATCATTTAATGCTCAAACAATCCTCTATCGCCAGGCTGATTCATTGAAATAATTCTTCTGAACTTCAGCAAATTCACCAGGCCTGTGGACAATGATATCTACACTTCATAGGGATAGGAGCGAAATGGGAGAGTGATCCACAAGGCCCAGCACAGGGCGATCACTTGGTCAACGCCAGTTCACTACACTCCTGCTTTAGCTAACGAGGAAACAGCCAAAGCTGTGCAGGTCCACCCAGCTACTCACACATGGGCTGGGCTGAGAGGGGTGGAGAAGCAGTAACCCTCTAACCTTAGCACTTGCTCAAAAAGCCCAACATGTACATACCACCCAACCAGTGATTTCACTGCTAAGCATAAATTCCAGGAAAAGAAGAGTACATTATACCCAAAGTCCCACAAATGTGAGTCCTTAGCAGAATTATTCATAATAGCTCAAAACTAGAAAGAACCCTATGCCCATTGTCTAGTGAATGAGTAGACAAAATCCTGTAAGAAACAGACTACGGATTTGTGCTATAATACAAACACAGATCAGAAGCAGTGCTCTTGATGATAGATATGGGCAGACTGTAGGATTCCAATTACTGAATGTCAAAAAAAAAATCGATAGAAACAGAAATACCCCAGTAGTTGCCTGAGGCCAGAATTAAGAACATGAATTCATCATAAAATAAGCACGAGGGATCCTATGGGGTAAGGAAATGTTTGAAAGCTGATCTGCGAAGACAGTTGTAAACTAAACTTTACTGTAAAATTCACTGGATCGTGTGCCCCAAAAGAGGAATTCTATGAGGAGACATGTTTCTATAAAGCTATGAACACAACAAAAAGGAGGGGCCAGAGGGATGTTTCAGCAGCTAAGAGCACAAGCTGGTCTTCCAGAGGAGCCAAGTTTAGGTCCCAGCACCCACATGGCAGTTCACAACTGTCTGCAACTCTGCCCCAGGGAATCTGACTCCCTCTCCCAGCACGAGCTTGCATGCAGGTAAGACATCATACGTATGAAATTTAATTGTTTAAGTTATTGTTTTTATTTTATTTTATAGGCTTTGGACCTATATGTCCCAAGACCTTTGTCTTTCTACTATGTGTTAAGATAGAATTAAACAATTTGGGTAATTGTACAGCTTACATTTTTTCCCAAAGGATTTATAGACAGTTCTTGCCATAGTTGCTGAGAGAAAGTTTTGTTTTTTTGTTTGCTTTTTTTTTGGTTTTTTTTTTTTTTTTGGTGGTGTATCCATCCTCAAGTTGCCCAAGATCCTGTAAATAATTCTCCATTCACACTCCGAAAGTTGGATCCCTGCTAAACTCACTGGGGCTCCAAACTGCATCAGAACGCAACAATTTATTTCTGTCATCATGCTCTCCCTGGAATGAGCAGACATTCGTTCAAGTTTCCTCAGAAAAAGTCCACACGACATAGCTCCATCTCTACCACCTAGTACTAGCGTGCTTTTGAGGCTCTAGGTGCTAACCATGTCTTCAACACCTCTCTCCTACTGACTGCCAGCCCTGAGTGACTTCAAGTTCCCCCAGCTTAAGGATCAGTCTCATACAAAGAGCTGGAAGCAGAGAACATGAATACTCTGTGTCAGACACATTTCTATGACCTGTCCTTTCTTGAGAACCTCTGAAATACCCCTAAAGGAAGTGTCTGTATTGTGTGAGGGCCTCCAGCTACATCCGGCCAGTTTACCTCGTTGCTGCTTCTATCTGAAGAGAGATGGGGCTTTTATCTGTCAGGGTTTTAATATCCTCCGACAAAAAGGAACAGCAGGAAATATAGCGATACAAGTTTTATTTGGAATCACTAAGTACATTGTCAAATAGGCGTGATTGATGGCTTCCTTTCCTGGGTTGCTCATCAAGTCTGTTGTCCCAGGATATGGTGGACAGATTAGTCATGTGGGGCTGGACACCTGTGCCGCCTCTGTGGAACACACCACCTGACCTGGGAATGAGGTGGCTGAGAAAAGCTGGACCTGGCTCCAGTCTGAACAGGTAGCTATGCCTGACAGTTTATAAACACAGGAAGAGAAACACATGAACCACAACCCTAAGGATAAAAGAAAGGGTCAGCAAACGCCTCAGATACAAACAACATACTCCTGAAGGAAGTACAAGGACAGGCGGAGGAGGAATAAACTGATCTCAAGAGACTTGAACGATACCTCAACCAAATGCAATGTGTGCGCATCACGCAGACCCAACTTATTTGAACAAACAATCATAAAAAATTCATGAGGCAAAGTGGAAAATTTGAACACTAAATATTTGCTAGAGTAAGAAATTGTTGGTGTGTTTAGGTTTTATAGTAGTTCCACAGCTATGTTTTGAAAAGAAATTCTTTTATTTGAGAGACAAATAGCAAATCTTGATGTGGATGATGTCTGGGGCTTTCTTCAGAAAAAGGCAGCGGAGAGAGAAGTAGGGGTACAGTGGAAATGCTGCAGCCCACATACTGATAATTGAGGTGTAAGCAGTATGCAAAAGCTTGTCACGTGACTTTTTAAATGCTATAATAAATGGTTTCAACAAAATTTGCTTAAATTCATGAACAATATCCAACAAAAATCTCACCATTGACCATGAGTCAGTATTGTTGTAGTGTTGTAGGAAAAGAATAGATCATTGAAATGAATTTTTTAAAAAGAATGGCCCCAGGGGAGAGGTGCACGGATAGATAGTGAGCTTCGCAGACAGAGTTTGCACAGGTTTCATGTGTTCTTGGTATGTACCAAATGTTATATAATTTTTAAAGAGTTGTAAATGAAGGCATGGTCTTTTTTAATCTCATTCTTTGAAAGAAAAAAATTGACATGCCACTACTTAACGCATGGTATTTTCCTTGTGGTTAAAAGTGTCTTCTCAACTTTTACAGATCATGTTAAAACATGTACATGTAGGGCTGGAGAGATGGATGAGCTGTTAAGAGCACTGGCTACTCTTCCAGAGGACCTGAGTTCAATTCCCAGCACCCACATGGCAGTTCATAACTGTCTGTAACTCTAGTTCTAGGGGGTATGACACCCTCACACAGACAGGCAAAACACCAATGCATAAAATTTAAAAAAGGAACACGTGCCCTCATACATATGTGTGCAGTATAGTTTCTATAAACAACAATATCAGGAATCCTATGAGCCACAAATAGACAGATACAGCATTTCACCATGATGATAGAGAAAATATATCTTAAATGTGTTATGTCTCTTGTCCCTTTGGCCAAGAGTCCCCTGCAAGCCTTGACATCTGGGGTATGGAAGACAGGTGATTGTATGAGTCTCATGTTGTCACTCAATGCCACTGCTTCTGCTACAGCACAGAAATAGGACCTATGCACAAGTGTGTCTATCTGTGGCATTTTCTAGGAGTAGGCTTATTGTCCGTAGATAGAGTACCATTCTCTAATAATGGATTTAATTGGCCGTGTGACGTTAGAGGGTGTTGGAACCTGCAGAGGGAGCCCTTGTACTAGGAGACAAGGAACAAAATACCAAATTCTGGGGTTTCTATTGGTAACCACACCACAAGCTTTGTAATCACACAGTCCAAATTCTACAGCTATCTGCCTTGACTCCCTGGAGAACACAACTGTTCAGATGCCTCCTCTTCTCATTGCCCACTGAAGGGACACTAGGTGGGGGAGCTCTCTGTCATATTCACTGGAAATGGCCATGTTTAGGAGTGATACACACTTGTTCCTGAGAATGAGCTAGCAAGGGTTTTAGCCACCATAACCTTGCAATGAGGTTAATTTTGACTCCTTTAAAAACAGGCAAGTTCTTAGGCTGGTCATAGACTTTTACTTTTTTACGGAAGAAAAGAAAGGAGAATCATGAGCTACTCCCAAACGTACTTTTTTTCTCTCATCAGCATTTTTTTTGCTGTGACTTATAATATAAATATCATTATGAATAATAATGAGCATTTATGGAGTTTATCATGCACCAAGTAATTTCAGGCACTATCTTGGTAATGTTATGAACATTGACTTATTCCATTTGATAAATAAGGAAACCGAGGCTTCAGAAGACATATGACATGTCCAAGCCTATGCAGCTTGGTGAAATTCAGAGCCAGGTGTGACTCCCAGAGCCCGTTTCCCATTTAATGTCTGCTAAAATATATAAACCAGATATAAAAGGGCCACCGTCTCCAGAGCCTTCCTCTGGCTGCTATTTAATGCAGAGACCATAGCTCTGTGGCTGTGAAAGCCCTTTCCTACATCAAGCTAGTCATATAAAAGTAAGCAAAATATCCTGAGTTATAAAAATTCTTGCTGGGTTATAAAAGGTCCACACACCTGTACAAATACCCAGCTGGCTAAGGCTTTCTTTTTATCATCCCTCCCTTC